ACTTCATCTAAACATCATCAAATGAGCTTTAAATAAAGCATCCTGCAGTCATTTTTGAACATGTGGGGGCTTAATACACATGACAGTGAGGCATTTTAAGTAGTGCACCATCCCTGAGCACGTGTATAGGCAGCCAGTATACCACGCTGTAGCATAAGCAAGTCAAGCCCAGTTAAGGAGTTCTCTGAGTAGCATTGACAGGGACTGCTTCCTGCCTGATCTAGGCAATCCTGATAGAGAGCAGACAAACATGCTCTTCTGAATCTGAGGAAAATGATTTTTTTAATGGAAAAGTTTCTTCATATGGGTAGCCCAACAGTTTTGAAAAGAAAAAGAAAAAAGATAGGCAAAGATGATTTTTTTTTTTAATAGAAAATTTTCTTCATATGGGTAGTCCAACACAGTTTTGACCTGTCCAACTTTCAATATCCAACTTCCTTTGTAATTAATTCTACTTAAACCAGAAAACCTTTTGTTTGGATCCATTTAAGGTCCATCTTGCAATTTCAATTTGCCATCCCTTTGTGTGGGTTTTTTTTTTTTTTTTTTTCTTCTACATCAGAGAACAGCTGTTTCTCAAGTAACTGTTCATGTACTCTACCCACAGATTAGAAAACGTATTCCTACCTGGGGCTTCACTATAGTGCTCCTGAAACTCATGGAGCCTCCATTTGAATTTTTTTTCACAAGTCTCCCCTGTTTCACCTCACTTCAAAGATTGGTTTAGCAGCTATCATGTTGGCTGCAAAAGATCATCAGGCACTTACCAAAAGAGCCATCATATGACAGTCAGTAAGAGTAAGGTAGTATTAAGCCCTCATTCAAAGTTCATTGCTAATGTCTTAGAATTTAAACCAGAATATCTTCTTTTCTGTCTTCTGCCTATCTTTTTTCTGAACTACCAGGAAACAAGAAATTATGCACATTTGACATACCCAGGATTTTTCTCAATTATGTCCACAGGACTGAGCTGTTTTGAATGCCTTCCTTCTCTTCCTAGCTATAATCCAGTGTTCAAGGCCATCTCCTCATAGATGATGCCACAAATGAACAGCACATTGTGTCTTACTGTGTTACCAAACAGTTGATGTACTCCTCCGACTGAACATCAAGATTTACTCTTTCACAGAACAACCAGTTTTTCTTCCTGTTTCAGGAGTATTCTAATATGAAAAAAATCTGTAAGTTAGCTATAATAGAAACCAGTGACATTGATCAAATACTACCTTGGTCAACCAGAAGGATGCACACCATCTCTGCATATCTGATGGACACTATTACAAATACCTGATCTTGCACACATGAGATGCAGGCACACGCACTTTAGGATCAGTACTTGGTGTGGCATCTTGAAGAACCAGTTGCTTTACACTGTGTGTCCTAAGGTTAAGAAATGGTACATTTCTGAGCCCTTTTTATACAGTATGCCTTTGGATGAAAGGCTTATCTGCCTTCACTCACCCCTATTGGAACTGCATGATTCTATCACACTTGACTATCTGGATGGCAGCAACTTTACTTGCCAACTGTATTAACCCAGTAGGCCCAATTGTAACCCTTTTTCCTTTGGGAGCCTGAGGCAGCTGGTGATTAAAGTGACTGGAAACAGTTTCTTCAAAAAAATCATCATTTATTTATTCATGCACCGGAAAGGTACATTACAACCAGAGCAAAGAAATAAAGCTAAAAAAGCCCTAAACACATTTCCCGTTACTTAAGCTTTAATCTTTTCTCGTAAGGTGTGGTAAGTTTCATTCAGCTCTGTTACCTTCAGTACATGGATTGGGAGACAGCCCTTGCTGCAGTCACTTATTTTCCATCACAGATTTATCTCTAGCCATTGCTGATAACCTGCTCCAATCCCATTCATTCCTAGGCCAGCATTTTTTTCAGGCTTGACAAACTCCGTTGATTTTTAGTCTTAGGTTTGAAAAGGGGAAATCTCAGCAGTTAGTTTGAAGCCAGGTGGGGATGCTGTCCGGTGTTTTCTTTTGGATCATTAGTATTCTTTCTAACTGTACTTTATCAGTACCAGTTTTACATTTCCTGTTTGTTCCATATCTTCCTTAACTCTGTGCGGTCAGATAAGTTCACATCACTGTGCACCTCAGTTCTCCTGTTTGATATTTATATACATATGTAAAAAGGAGCATGGTTTGGTTTGTTTTAATTGCCTAGTTCTAGAAGTAAGGAAGTAACTGTTCCATGATGTGTTTCATGATGGCATCTTTACCATCAAGGTGGTGCACAGTACCTCTTGCAGGGGCAGTGATGATTTGGATTTTAAAGGAATAGCTTGTGTGTTGGGAACATGGACCTGAAGCATGGTAATTTGTAAATTTTTTAATGTTCAGAGAGCAATAATTACAAGTGTTAGTATCTGGAAATGGTAACCAGTGTGAAATTTATAAAAAGTCTTAACTGGTAGAAGACTACTAGAGCACTTTTAAGAATGTATAATGTCAGTAAGAGTTAGGCCCTTTGTACATGCAACAAAATTGGCCTTTAAAGCAGCCTAATTGCCCTTTTGCACCACTCTAATGGTGTTGCTACTTACATGATCGGCAGCATATTCTGCTTTAAATGACTTTGTAACGTAACAAAGTAAAACCCATCCAAGGTATTTTAGTTTGCTCCCTAACAAAGTGCAACAGTGCACGGGGCGCTGGAAGCCGACATGCTTGGGGAAGCTTGAGCTTGGTGGGCTTCCAGTGCTCTGTGCACCATACTGGCTGCCTTCTCCCACTGCCAGCACACCCAGCCACCCTCCTGCCACCTTGCCACTCTGCCCAAAGGGCAAGCCAGCCGTTCCCAGGCAGTCCCAGGTGGTGGGAAGGTGGCGAGGATGGTGCAGGGAAGGGGGGCAAGCTGCAAACGGGCCAAGCAGTCCCTGAGCTGTGGAGGACCCCGGTGCTTCCCTCCAGTGGCGGTACCCCCCAGATGGCACTCCCAACTGGCACCCAGCCCAGGCAGTCCTGTGGGGCACCAGCACTGCGGAGGAAAGCACCAGGGCTCACACAGCCCAGGCAAGCAGCCAGGCTCCAGGAGGAAAAAATAAAAAAGATCAGGCTCCTCACTACTTCCCCCCACCTTCAGTTGAGCCTGCCTGCATAAGCTGTCACCAGGTCACACAGCCCCTGAGCATTGGGCCCCTGATCTTTGTACATGCTACGGGGGTTTAGTTCTCCCTAAACTGAAACAGTGGGTTTCCCCATTGCATATGCAAGCACGCTTAGACTTACAGTTTTAGAGGACATTTGCAGTTATTGTGAAGGATGCAGCCATTGGCATTCAGACCTCTGGCCCAGTTGAATCCCAAACTGTTTATACAACTGAGTGTTCAAACATCTGGTTTTGTTCTTCTGAATCAGCATTTGGACAAGTTAATTGATTGGCAGGAGGCTGTCATTTAGAGTAGGTTTTATGAGGCATACTGGCTTATATGGCTTAACACATTTTGTTCAGGTCTAATTTGCTTTGTTCATTTTACTGACATTGGCCCTATTACTTCAGTAATTATTTTCTGACAGAAGTTTTCACCTGGGATATTTCTCTTCCAAGGGCAGCGATTGGAAGCCTAGTTGAAATCATTGAACCAGGACTGTTTATAAATATGACAGAATCTTTTAAGGTGACTTTAGAAAGACTTAATTTCCCCCATACCGCAATTTTTATGATGAATTTTCTGTAAAAGAATTGAATCTTAGCCAGTTATCATTTTGACTTCCTATTCTTAAAAAAAAGTGAAGGTTTTGCATTATCTGATACAAGGTATCTTAAAAATTAAGCAATGCAAATCCTTAATTAAGAGAATTCATTTTAAGTACACCTAATAAAGAACAGATCCCTACATACTGATTCACATCAAAGGCAAAAATTATTAGTTCAGTGTCTCTTCCAAAAAAAAATAGTGGCTTTAGCTGTGTCTAATGCATGCAGTAGGCAATGGCCCAGGGCAACAAAATGTTCAGTAACTATGGGCAACTGTAAGCTAGTGAAGTATTTACTAGTTGGGAATAGAATCCCTAGAGAGAACCTTTTTTTGCTGCTATTTTGTGTCTCTACCACATCAAACATAAATGAATTGAATTAAAACCATTTCAAACAATTTTTGGTGAGAACATAAGTATTTTGCACTTGGAATACATTTTTATTTGTCTTTGTTTTAGCATCATCGTTTTAGAAGGCTTGCCAGTTTATCATGTAACTGTAGAGGTAATTGTTTCTTTTTGCTTAGGAGAGATTTTGAGGAAGGATTGGAAGGATTTTTTTTAATTTCTTTTTACCAATGTGTATTGTATCTAGTTTAAATACCTTTATAGACCATGATCGCATACAAGTTACCTTGTTAACTAGTAATTCTGCCTTTTTACACAATGTTATATGGAAACTGTTGCACATTAGGTTTTCTTCTCAATCAGTAAAATTTACAAGGAAATATTGTTTAAGAACATAGCAACTGACTAATTTTGCAAATGAGAAATTGACAGGGTTGAAGAATTTTTGCAATTCTGTATAATATATAAACAATATAAAAAGTCTTCAATGCTCTGACTTTTAAATCTAATGGAATTCATTGTAAACTTTTTTTAATTATGTAGACTTTCTTTTGTTCTCATGAATATCAATATGGAGGTGATATGCTTTTTTTATTCTAAAATGTCAGGTATAAGTGGACATTATTATGTAAATTAAAGATCATGAAATTTTAATATTATCTCTTCCTACCACAGGCTTTCTTCATTCAAATTTGTGAGACTGAAAAGACTTCCCCCCTACACTAGCTATGACGACCATATGAATAATTTGATTATTGTACTTCAGTTAAAAAAAAAAAAAAAAAAAAAAAAA